CTGAGATTGCCCCATTTGGTGGTGTAACTCTGTGTGTGTGTGTGTGTGTGTTTTTTTAAATATTTGGTGCAATAACTTAAATAAACTGAAAATTGATTATTTGAATATTGGATTATGCCATTAAATTATTGTCTTTTAGCTTGCACCACTGGTTAAGTTTGTTTAGAGTATTTTGATCTGAAAATGATTAAGATGAAACCATGGAGAGAAGTTAATAAATGTTGTTTTATGTTGCATCACTGATGATTTAAAATATTGATGTGCTATATGGAAATGATTGCATATGTTGAGATGTAAATAATTGGTCTTTTTTTTCTTCTATATTTCCTCCAATTTGGTTAAAATTGTAGATTCAAATATCAACAAATTACTAATGATGGTAGTTTAAATACCAGCTTAGCCTAAGAGTAGGTGGGAAATGAATGGATATTATAGCTATATTGTTGTATTATTTCCTGATTTTTTTATTTTTTTTTTTCAAATCCTGCAGAAATTCTCAGCATTATTGCTTCTGCGACTTTCATTTCAGAGTCTTGGCGTGGTCTATGGAGACTTAGGAAACATCTCCTTTGTATGTGTTCTACAATACATTTTTCTCATGGAATCAATGATCCAGAGGATGTAATTGGAGCTCTTTCGTTGATTATATATTCCCTCACTCTTATACCACTACTCAAGTATGTTTTTATAGTATGCAAGGCGAACGACAACGGTCAAGGTAAGCTGTTCCAAATCTGTGAACTTGGAACAATAAACAGGTAAAATGAATCTGCTCTAGATTCCAAAAATTGTGAATTAGAATGGTAGCATGACCTCCTCTAGGCAAATTAGGCTATTGTATCTTAGAAAAATATCTTAGGTTTGGGATACCAAACATGGTAGTTCCTATATTTAAAGTCATTAATCCTTCTTCAAGGCCCAACTCTACTATTGTATAATCATAGTTGAACTAAAATAGAATATCACTAACCATAGTTCCCTCAATTTTTAAGGAGATTTATTATCACAAGATGGAACTAAATAATGAAGTCGGTTAATAAAAAAAAAAGGGAGAGGGATAGAATGCAAATGGGTAGAAAGCAGTGAAACAATTCTAGGTGCGCAATGTGTAGATATTGATGAGGCACCACTAGAATTATTTTTCCATTGTGCAGGTGGAACGTTTGCTCTTTATTCATTGCTCTGTCGACATGCAAAAATTAAAACAATCCCTAACCAACACCGGACTGATGAGGAGCTGACAACATATAGTCGTAGCACTTTCCATGAGCATTCATTTGCTGCAAAAACCAAGAGATGGTTGGAGCAATATGCATACAGAGAAGAATGCTCTTCTTATACTTGTCCTTGTTGGCACTTGCATGCTGATTGGAGATGGAATTTTCACTCCCGCGATATCTGGTAAACCTCCTTGGTTCTTCTTCTTCTTTCTTTCTTTCTTTCTTTCATTCTTCCTTTCTTTCTTTCTTTTTTTCTTTTTTCTAATTTCTTATGGTGAGTACATGCTCCTTCATGCTTGAACCATTTGAAGCGTTTCTAGTTGCCCGTCTACTAATTGATTTACTTGCAAACACATGTTCCAATTATGTCTGTTATCAGAATCTTACGATTCGCAATTCGATTCACGATTCGATTTGCAATTTTTGCAAAATCGATACGAATTATGGGTGAATTTATTTTGGAAGTAAATCTCTAGTGAATCGCACGATTCACATCAATTCATGATTCAATTCACTCTTTACAATTCATGCGATTTTTAAAATTATTGTGTCCGACATATTTTTACTATTTTTTTCTCTGTCTTTTTTGTAAAATGTCATAATACAACTTCTAATAGCGTTTAATACCAAAATGACCAACATATATACATGATTTGTTATTATTTTAGTGACCATGGAATTTTTAATAGGATCCAATCAGATTCAGTCAAACCCAACATATTTTTAACCTTTCTTCTGATTTTTTTTTCTCTTTAAAAAATCGTAAATATATCTTCTAAAGATGTTTAAGATTAAAGTTACACTATGAATTATCTATTGCTATTTTATTAAATTGAATATTATATGTGTGAGGTCAGTTATATCTTTTAAAATGTTTTAGGCTTTAAAATAAAAGATTTTAAAATAATTCTTTCTTATTTTTCGCTCACTGTTACTTAGAAAAGTATGTAGGCTGATTGTCCAAATATCATATCGTTGTTAATTATTGTTACTTTAGAAATTGATAGTTTGTCTATTTGGTTATTATCTTTATTAAAAGAATGGTTGATAAGAAATATCGAAAAGAAAAATAAGATAAGATGGTGATCTTATATAGAAACCTTTTGTTAACTTCGTACCGTTAAACTACATGATTATCATTCAAAATAACATTTTTATTGATTTAATCTAAATATTTTATATTCATAAAATATATTTAACATGTAAATGTGTAGATATATGTTTTTAAGTAATTTAGAAAAAGTGACCGAATCTTTACGATTCACGATTCACGATTCAATTCGATTCGCAATTCGGTACAAGGCCATTTCAATTCATGATATGAATCCCGATTTGACAACTATAATATAATGTATTTGTGCATGTGTATCAAACATACAACTGATGAGACCATGATTTTGTGATGGGCCATGAGTACTGTGACAAAAATATATAGAAAGAATTTTGTTCTCTTTTTCGTGGGTGATCATTCATCTACTTGATTTGTTGTCTGGGGCATCTTCCAGTTTATTCTCCTTAATAAGGCCATACACATCTACATGAGATAATATACTTTCTTGATGGTAATGGCCTTCTAATCTTCCACTCATATCATCTAAAGAGAATTTTATCTAATCCAGTTTAGATTTAAACCCCTTCTACTCTTCAGAGGAAAGAAATTTTTACGGTATGTTCATACTCAGAGCTGCTTGCTGTTTACATGCTCTTCAGTAGTCCTTGCAATTTGGTACATCACTTCAAAGAGATAAACCCAATCTTTGAGAAGAAATTAATACTATATATAATAGCAATGATAGCCCTATTGAAGTTTGGAAGTGTTTGGGTAAAAAGGGAGTTGGTTGGTTGACTAGGTTGTTTAGTAAAATTTTGTTGACTAGGAACATGCCAGATGAGTGGAGGAAGAGTA